TATTTCTCTACCGTCGCGAATACTCCAGGACGCAACAATAAGGACTATAGAATCCCTCAAACCAACACGAATGAATTTAACAAATAAATATCAAAGTTGCATTGCTTTATCAATGCATTTATGAAAAATGATATAGCTAATTTTCTTCCTCATCTATTCCATTGCGATTTCTTCTTTTCCTATTATTTTTCATGTTGATTCCTTCTCCAATGATTTCCACCTTGACTTTTTTTTCTGCAATCCTTGTTCACATCGGTGCCTTCTTTGATGAGCTCCCATAGTGATTTACACTTTTTTAGGCACTGATTATGTCCATGCCTTCTTTCGCAAGCTCACATGACGACTTCATGCTCTTCTTTTTTGGCTCAATTTGACAAGCTAACTCATGACATCACATTTGTTGTCACCAGTTGAACTGAAGCTTATGTTATAGCTAGTAAGCAGACACACAAGAAGAACTCAAGTTAGACTTGACACGAGCTCAACTTGAGTCATTTATACTTATATATATGTACACACACACACTTACACATACATACATATAAATTGTTCTATGATCAAGTCAAGTGTCTTAATAAGAGAAATCCAACGAGCTTGGAACTTGGATCACTCTATGTTATTGAGGGAATCAACATAGACCTTTTGATGGAGTGTTTTGAGAGGCCATATTTATTAAAATACCACTCCCAAAGCTATAAATAACCTCCCACTTATCATATAAAGGGCATTGGGAGCTATGTATGTATTTAAAAATGGAGAAAATTTAGGAGATCTAAGGAACTATAAAATATTTCTTAACATTCATTATCGATGATCATTTCTAGCAACTATAGTTGCATAACTACCATCACTCAATTATTATTGCCCTACTACTACTACGTGACTGCCATCACTTGATCTCCATTGCCTATCTTCTAATTTATGTCCGACATTATTTGACAGTTAAAACCCATCCATTGCAGCCCAACCATCGACATCGGTTCCATCATCTGACAACCATCATTAGATCATTATAATATGTTTGAAATTAGTTGATCATCGCCATCACCCTGTACTACTTATCCAAAAAATATCTATGGCAAATAAAGGAGACCGAGATAGTTTTCTCAACTTTATAATCTCACCTTTCTCAATTGAGGGGAGAAGAACACTTTTTAATTCGTATTTATATAGTATATTAATTCAAATGTGCTAGACCCCATATTTTTTTTTTCTTTCCGGATTTTCACATAAAAATTTTGTATTTATTACAACCTTTTTTTATTTATGTGCTTCATGGGTCTTCAAGCACAAAAAAATAGGTTAAACTATCATACATTCAATTGTAAAAAAATATTATAGCACACAACAAATATAGATAAAAAAAATAAATAAATTATATGATACTAATTAATCTATCTCAATTTTTAATTGTGACACACGTTTAGTTTTATCATAACAAAAATCTCCATGGAGCTAATATATCTAGTATATCATTTTGGATTAATAAATCAAGTTATTTGAACCCCTAGTGTAAATATATAAGAGTTTTAGAAAAAATTACTTATTTGACACCCAAAATATGTTTATTTGCAAAACTCACACCTATATTATTGTTTTAACTATTGATCTTGTGTATTTGTATATGCTATAATTAATTTGTTAAGAATTAATTAAAAAAGAAAAATGCGTATTAAAATTTTATAATGAATTTTGATATTTTGGTGAAAATTTAAAAAATGAGTGTAATTTCATAAATAAGCAGATTTTTGTATTACTATATAATTTCTTAAAATGGTATGATATGCATCTAAATATATAATAACATATAAGAGATAAATATTATATATTTTTTATATTTACTTAGCAAATCCATTATTATAATACTTTCATGTTTATTTTCCACTGAACTAAGCATCTATCTTCACCGTCGTCCCGGCCTCTCGATTTGCCTCGGCGGTTTGGTTGCTCTCATTGCCGTACTAGTCAGCCCTTCATCTCCCTCCTTTTGCGGCGGAAGGCGGGCACTTTGTTGAACATCGCTTGCGGAACTTTAACTTTTAAAAAGCCGCACTGACCGGGGAACTAGGGTTTTGGGGTCTGGCTGGTTGAAAGCACTGCACACTGGCCTTTGCACGATGTATCCACCATTAGCATCTTGGCTGCTATTGTCTTTTTTTTATTAGTTTCATTAAAGCAATGACAAGTGACTCTTGCGTTGACCTGATCTCCACGTTATGCCACGCGAGTGGTTTCTTAGTCGGGCTTATTGTCACGTTTTTCAGGTCTGGGGCTCTTTTCCAGGATTTCTGCTGTCAGTTTGATCTCGGGCTCCTTCCTATCCTGTGAAAGAGGGAGAATTGAGGGGGGTAAGGTATGCGCCGTATGCTTGTAAATGTGCCTTTCTCTTTTATGTTTTGTGATCGCTTCTTAAATTTTTGGGTCTCACTAGATGATTTTATTGCTGGGCGTAACTGTAGAAGTGCTTGCATGTAGTTGGTTGCAGGCTTATCCTATAAAAGTAACATGCATTTTTTTGTTTAATCTTCAGTGGCAATATTTATCAAATTCTCAAGTAATGGTCTTTTAGGGGATGTTTGATATCCTATTTTAGGCAGGATTTAAACATGATTTGGCATAAATTCTGCCAAACAGAGTCTTGGGACTTTAAATGCTACTGTTTTGATAAATTCAATTTCAACTCCGTTGTTTGTTAAATCTGGTATTTCTTAATCCCACTTTTCACGGGATTTAAAGGATTTAAATATTTCTTCCCCTCACAAATCCTAAATCCTAAACTCAATAGCTTGAGAATTTATAAGGATTTACTACACTTTTGTAGTTGTCATGCCAAGCAAATTTCTGATTTGATCATGTAAACATATACTAAATCTTGATTGACGGGATTTACAAAATCCTATTTGAGTGAAATCTTACTTGTAGCCAAACAACCCCTTAAGGATACCTTATAAATGTGGTTAAAAACTTGAGATGTTAGGAATACTACTTATATTGCTAGAGATGCCAGTAGTCATTTTTAATGCCTTATGAATTCTGCAGTCTTCTTGTGTGCTTTGATCATGTACTTATCTTGCATCCATTGGTTATTCTCATTAGCCACAATTTTCTACTCAATTTTATTTTTCAAAATTAATAGCTTCTTTATCACTTACAAGGTTCTCTTTTGTATGATAGCTGAGACTTTTTGGAACAATAAACTTTATTTTCAATCAAAATTTATTCTTGTTCATGAATTTTTTAGATCTTTGAATCCTTTATAAAATTTTTAGGGTTCTCTGTCAAGGGAATAAAGCAAAATAATAAAATCTCTATGAGATTGTAATCTGTTTGATATGTTAAGCTTATTGTACTTCATAAATATGTTCATTATTTATACATATGTAATTTTGATTTCAGAAAATTTTCAAGCAGTTACTAGGCATTGTGGGCATGGCTACTGCAAATGCAAGTACTAGCTCAAAGAATGGTCCGTATCTATATGCCTTGTGTTTTACCAAGCACATAGTCCATAGTTTCTCTCTAAAAATGATTTTGTCTTTGTAGCTAGGAAGAAAGAAGTAAAGAAAGAAACTGGACTGGGTTTGACCTATAAAAAGGATGAATCATTTGGAGAATGGTACTCTGAGGTAAAGCAGGGTTGGGTTTTTTGATGATTCTATTTCTTTTGCTATAAAATTTTCTTTTGTCGCTATAACATTTGCTGGCTTTTCAGGTGGTTGTTAACAGTGAAATGATTGAGTACTATGACATCTCTGGCTGTTACATCCTACGACCATGGACAATGTCAATTTGGGAAACCATGCATGTATGTGTTTGATTTCGCTATTCTAGTTCATGGTTTTGAATATCATATTTAATTATTGATAGCACCACTGAATAGGTAATGGGTACTTAATGCAAGCATTTTAAAAAAAAATATCTCAAGCAATCAAGTTTGTCAACATGCAAAGCTAAACATGATGTACAAATGGTTTTTTGGCATAAGTGCGAAACATAAATAAATCAAACACTTCAATAAATTAAAATGCATCTATATCACACAAAACAAACATATTATGTAATTACGCTAAATAGACAATTTAGGTTTTGAAATTATTAGACAAATTATGAAGCATTGTGTTCCATTAAAACCAAATGAAGTGATAAAAAGTTGAAAAATAGAAATAGATATGAAGGTTAAAGAATCCCCTGATTCAAAAATCAAAGAAGAAAGAATTGAGGATATAAAGACTAATGTGTTGAAATAATACTTGGAAATCAAGGATACTCGTGAGATTAAGAAGAACGATTTAGTGTAGAGCAACAAATGATTTGAAGTTTAGCAATGAATGGCTCAAGATATAAAAATGAATGACTAATCGTATAAAAACAAATGACTTGTGTAGAGGAGACCACGTGGTTGGATCTGTGTGAGAATCAAGAAGCTACATTGATGTGCTTGTGTGATCAAGATAGAGGAACCTTAAGAGTTGCAGGCCAAGAGCAAGGAAAGAGAGAAATTGAGAGTTTGTGTAGGAAGGGAAAGCGAGAGATCTTGTGGGATTTAAGATTTTTTTTGGCACTCTATATATCAATAGAATGTGTAACCCAACAACTATAGTTGAACCAGCAGCTGTGGTTAAATTGGTGAGATTGAACTAGGAGACTTCAACAAGATGGGATTCCTAATATGCATGTGTTGCATGTGTATGGTCAAGCATGGAGCATTGTTGATGAGGTCATCGATAGGAGATTTCGACGCGTCTATGAGAGACGACCACGGAGATCGACGACCACGATTGCGAGCCTTTATTATTGATTTTACTTGTACCATCAGTTTTTTTTATATTATGCTTTTATTTTCGTAGTTTCCCATTTTACCCCTGAGGGTAGTAGTTGCTTTTGTAGCCCCAAGGGGCATTTTAGACTTTTGCACTTTATTTTTCTTTGGAGCTTATTTATATGGCCATTGTATCTTGTATGAGGACTAATGAATTATTGAAGATTCCTAACATGCGTGTGTTGCATGTTGTATGGTCAAGCATGGAGCATTGTGATGTGCACACATCATCATACTTCGTTACGTTCGAGTCATTGCAATAGAGAGCGTTGCTTCTTTGCATTGCAATGCTGCCTTTCAAAGGTGCGCTTCAAAGTATGCTTTTAACAACACTAAAAGTAGCAAGTTATACTTTAACCAAGTTAAACAATCATTATTTTTCTATAGCAATGTGAACATGCATTCATCACTATTTTTCTTGTCCAGAGTTGAAATTTCAATCATCTTTTTGTATGTCAAATGTTTGTGAAATTTTAAAATTTATTTCTTACATTAAAAATATAACATTATTAACTGTTTAGTCTCCTTCATTTCACTACTGCATATGTAATGACTAGTGATGTTATTCATATTGCGTAATTTTTTGTATAACAATTAAGATATATTGCTAGTTGTTTTGGTTCAATCTATACAAGGTTGTTTTTGAATGCCAAGCCTTATGTGTTATGTGATTTGATTGAGCTGTTCTATAATATATGTGTAGAGATATGATATTTCTTGTTAAATATATTGTATGTGTCATCTTAAGTTAAATTAAATGTGCTTGATGGACATACATGTCAACGCACCATGGAGCATGGCGTGGCGCACATACGGTGCTATTTGCTTGGTGTGGCACAAAACATCAAAATAGCGTGTGCTATTTGCGCCATGCATGGCAATGGCACATGGCGCAAATGACGCACGTTATTTTGTTAGCATGGTATAAATTTTAAATTATAAATTAGAATTAATTTTTCTAATGTTTATATATTAATATCACAATTAATGATTAATTAGTTAAATATCAAATTAATAAAATATCAAAAAAATTTAAAGTATTTTACTTTTTTTGTAGAATTTAAAGCTGTCATTT